CGTCCTAATGGTAATAACAAACTGAATGACTTCACCAGAATGAACGTGAATTAGACCAAATTCCTGATGATACTTAACAATATTTTTCTTTCAATAAAGTGTAACTCGACAGTTAGTTTGCGTTACAAAATGTACCTACTCTCGAACAACCCACATACCTATGCACTGCTTACGCCTTTATCAATTATTTTTTCCCAATACTTAGTCCTAAAACATTTCAAATTTAAGATAGATCATATTCATATGTTAAAACATCCCTTCTATATCACATTTCTCTGATTATTCTTTGTCAAGAATAGTTACGCCAGATTTTGAGTTCGAGAGAATGAAACAATGTACGATTTACTAAATGTCGTGATTAATTTGCGTAATTAATTCGTTCAATTATGGAAATCGCACTCCACCTAAGTGTACCCCGATAAACCAGACATATTTCATGCATGTAGCAGTCCGGATTTCTTTCTTTAATATTTCTTTTCTCCTTTTTTGTCAGTAAAAATTGTAATATCAATTGATTTCAATTTTTATGCATTGGCTGATGTATTTACCCAATTTATTTACCAAAGGGACTTTAAATACTGGTATAAAAAAAAATTAGAAAAATAAAAACGTAAATATTCATAGAAAATTCTACGTAAAAAATTAAAACATATAATAAATTAATTGAATTAATAAAAAAAATAAATATAAAATACAATCCGGAGAATTAAAATAAAAAAAAAATTAAACAATATTGTCTTTTATTAATTATGTCTCCCCTTCCGAAGGGGAGACATATTGTTTTTGTCGATTTTCTTATTCTTCTTCTTATTATTCTTCTTCTTCATCCAAATTTTGTCCGGGCCGTAACTTGAATACCCTTTGACCTGAAGACCTCATACTTGGAACTTAGATAGATGACCTTGAGGCGGAGTGTCCGCCACCAAAATTTTTGACCTTGATCTATATATAAGGTCAAGGTCAAACTTTTACATTTAAATAGAGTTTTGGCAATAGCTTGAGTACCCTTTAATATTAGGACTTCAAACTTGAAATATAGAAAGAAGACATTAAATACAAGATGTAGTGCACCTAAACTTTGAACTTGACCCCTTTCTATGTTCAATGTAAAATAGATAAAAAACATGATTTTAACATAACTTTAGATACCTTAGACATTTAGACTTCAAACTTGGAATATGCAGAAGACACATAGGAGAAGGGTGTATGTGATCAAAATTTATGACCTTGATCCAATGTTTATAGGGTCAAGGTCAAACTTTCACAACAAAATAGAGTTTAGGCCATAGCTTGAATACCATTTGATATTAGGACTTCAAACTTAAAACATAGAAGGGAAACATTAAATACATGATGCAGTGCACAAGAACTTTGACCTTGACCCTTTTTTGTTCAAGGTCAAATATAGAAAAACATGATTTGACCACTACTTGTGATATCTTTGAGATTCAGACTTCAAACTGGGAACATGCAGAGGACACATTGGAGAAAGTTTATGTGATCATATTATTTGACCTTGATCCAATATTATTAGGTCAAGGTCAAATTTTCACATCTAAATAGAGTTTAGGTCATAGCTTGAGTACCCTTTGATATTAGGACTTCAAACTTGTAACATAGAAAGAAGACATTAAGTACAAGATGTAATGCACCAGAACTTTGACCTTGACCCCTTTCTTTCCTCAAGGTCAAATACAGAAAAAAACATGATTTGAACATAACCTGAGATACCTTTGACATTAAGACTTCAAACTTGGAATATGCAGAAAACACAAAGGAGAAGGGTGTATGTTATCCAAATTTTTTACCTTGATCCAATGTTTATAAGGTCAAGGTCAAACTTTCACATCAAAATAGAGGTTAGGCCATTCATTGAATACCCCATGATATTGGAACTTTAAACTTGTAACATTGAAAAAAGACATTAAATATAAGATGTGCTGGATCAGAATAAAAGATGGACTTGCCCCATATTAGGACTTCAAACTTGTAACATAGAGAGAAGACATTAAATTCAAGATTCACTACACCAGAAGTTTGACCTTGCCCTTTTTTCTTAAAGGTCATATAGAGGTTAACATGATTTGACTATAAGTTTGACATTAAAAACTTGTTACAAAGATAAAGGACATGGGTACAAAATGCACTGCATCAGAATTTTGACCTTGACTACTTCTATTCCTTCAAGGTCAAATAGAGAAAAAAATCATGGTTTAACTTTGATCTTAAAATTTCTTTGTTATAAATACTTAAAACTTGCATTGGTGGTATGAAGCAGGGATGCAGGCCACCAAAATAAGACTTCAAACTTGGAATATAGAAAGATGACGTTAACTTGCGGAAAAAATAAACATAAGATGAATGGAAAGAAAATACTCTGAAGAAAACGTTTATGAATTACTTAGGTGAGTATCAAATTCATTCTCATTTGTTTTACTATCATATATCTACTACATCCATTCGGTGCCAAGCAAAGTTTGCATCATTAATTATGATTCAAACTTTGCTTAGAGTAGTGTTATCTAATGGTAAATTTTGAACAAGGTTTATGTAGTAAAAAGATTTTAGATAAAAATAATTAGCAAGGAATTTACAGATTGGAAATATATTACTGACATGGACTATTGGTTAATGATTTATTACCAAAACCACATCTTATTTCAACTTTTGCAATGTACTCCATTAGATTTCACTTTGCATGATCTGTCTTTGCTATACATGTCTGGCTACGTATGTATAATGAGGATCCTCTTCGTGGTGGCACTAGTAACAGACCCCTTGCTATTGTAGCCGTTTGAATTACTGTAGTGTTGTAGTGAGCTTCTTTGTCACTATCAGTATTTTTGTCTGTCTTGCTTCACATCTTTTGCATAAATATACCTCATCACAAAACACATCCGTCATTTTAAACAATAAACTCTAATAGCTTAAATATCACTAACCTATTTCATATAGCAATGAGCCTGGCTAAAAGATCATGCTTTTTATGTGATGTCTTACAATGCATATGTCAGTTACTAATATTAGCAGAATAGCTTATTACTATGGTTTCATTAATTTTCATTGGCATAAGTTTTTGACACTGAACTTTTGAAACGCACTGTTTGGAGGAAACATAAATTCATGGTCAAGGACACTCAGAACAAAACTGTTTCATAATGATTGTTTCCATAGATGAACAAAAAATATTTAAGAAATCATAGTACTTTCTGTTATCTCATACATTTTCTGAAATTGTATTTAAGTTTATAACCTGTCATTTTATATCTGTATATTTATACATATTTAAACAGAATGATTACTAATCATGCTTTATTATAGACACACTAATTAAATAAACAAGTTTTTTACTTTCAGAGTTCACTTATCTTGATTTTCCTGATTTTTAGCTGTCATTAAAATGTTTAATTGCCATGGTTAGTTTCATAGATCATTCAGCTTAGAAAGAAACCATTAAATGTTAGCTTTTTTTTTTACAGGAATTTAATCAATAGTGTTCCATTGCCATGGGTAGTTTTACAGATCAATAAGCTTAGAAAGGAACTATTTATTGTTTTTTTTTTATACAGTAGTTTAATCCATGGTACTGGTGTTCCATTGCTAGTCGGCAATTCCAGTACAGATCATTCAGCTCAGGAACCCAGAATTTGGTTCTTTTTTTTGTTTACAGGAATTTTAATTATCATTTTATTTAGATCAGTATGGCGTCACCTTCGAAAATAACGAGATTAGACAGTTTTGTGACTGAGTTCGCGGAAGAAGTAGACACTGAGTTGAAGGCAGTGTGCTATGACATTTCAAATAAGAATAATGCACAAGCTATTAAAGCTGTAGAAAAGATAAGAAGAAAATTAAAAGCCATGGATGGAAAAGTTAAAACACTCATAAAGATGAATGAAAATGAAAATTCTAAGCTTGTAAAAGAAAACATGCAGATGAAAAATGAAATAGAAAAATTAAAGAAAAAAATCAAAAACCTTGAAGAGGATGATTTCCTCCTGTCTTCCCAGGACTGCAGTGGGATCACAACAGACTGCAGTGGGACCGCAGCAGTGTCCTCCCCAAAGTCAGAACCTGGACCATCCAATGATGTATAAAAACATTGACAGCAACAGCAGAAATTAACTTTCACCTGATTATTTTAACAGAATAACTCCTTTATTTCATGTGCAGAGGATGCAGAGATGATTTTATTTGCTGAATGATGACTTTTTTTTTCTTTAGGAAATACCTTTGTTATATTCAGTATTGTACTTGGGAAAAATATTGTTTTTTATTGTTCTATTGTCATGACAGAAATTTATTTCACTGCTTTGCATAGTAATACATGTAGGAGACATTTTTAAAATATTGGATCTTTATTTTACTATTCATACTTATTTTCATCATGTGCTATTTAAACAGTCATTGATATCTTGTATCTCCATGAAAAAAGTCTTTAACATGTGTCATGATTATGTGTATATTGCATTTACTTTAAAGCTAATATAGATCACAAACCCCTTGAACTCATAAAAATCAAGCTTCTAATACAAATATGTTAACTGCTATAAAGTACATGCATGGAATATTTTCATCTATAAGATCCTCTACTGTCATTGAGATATTTGTTTAAATTTCTTAAAATTTCATTTCATTATGGAAAAACATATTAATAATCAATATGTTGTTAATTTTTCTCATTTCAAGAATTCCTGTTTGCTATATGTAATACATATGTTTTCAAAAATAAATTTCTTTTCAGGCTACTCTAAGGTCTGCTGATGTATCATGAGTGGGAGAAAAAAAAGAAAGAAAGACAAGGACAGGAAAAGGAAAGCTCGCACAGAAAAAGTAACCAAAAATGCAGGTAAACATAAACGATTGCATAGATTTAATGAAAAAACAAACAATGTCTTCATTTTTTCAATTTCTTCAGTACAAACAAATTTGATATTAAGCATCAGTTAATCATATTATGAGTAAAATATGTTCTTTGCATTTTTTTCCCTGACCAGGTCTTTGTGCACAAAATTCTGATTTGGAATCGATTGCAGCAGAACAAGACAAAAACTCTAGTTCTAAGGTAAAACTTACCAAACTTTTAATTTTTCAATGTTCAGTCTGTTATGCTTGAAAAAAATGAAATAATAATACAAATTCATATTAAATTTTTATCTTTAGGTTCAAAAGGCAGACTGGTTGTCCAACTATCTTTCGCAACAACAGGAATTTGAACAAAGGAGACTTTTAAGAAAGCAACAAATGAAAATATGGTACCAACAAAATAAGGAGAAAAAAAAACAATATGAAAGAAACCGGTATCAAGATGAAGAAAATGCCAAAAGAAAAAAACAGTATATGAAAGAAAATTATTGTATTCCAGAGAATGCAGAAAAAAAGAAGAAATTTATGAAGGAAAAATACAGAATTCCAGAGATTGCAGAAAAAAAGAAACAGAATATCAGAGAAAAATACACAAATCCAGAGATTGCAGAAAAAATGAAGCACCATATCAAGGAAAAATACAGGATTCCAGAGATTAAAGAGAAAATGAAACAGAGTATGAAGAAACAATACAGAATTCCAGAAATTGCAGAAAAAAAGAAAAGGATTATGAAGGAAAAATACAGTATACAAGAGATTGCAGAAAAAAAGAAGCAGAGTATGAAGAAACAATACAGAATTCCAGAGATTGCAGAAAAAAAGAAACAACATGTCAGGAAAAAATACAAGATTCCAGAAAAAGCACAAAAACAAAAAGAACATGTAAAACAAAATTATAAGATACCAGAAGCAAGAAAAAGGAAGGGAGAACATAATTTGCAAAACTATCACAGAAAGAAAGCTAAATTGATGGATGGTAATGCAGCACTTCAGAAATTTAGAACTTCATGCAAAGAATATCCAATTTTTCCCTGCATTGTATGTGGACGGATTATGTTTCGTTCCCAGGTTCAAAAATTTGTCAAAAACAAGTACAAAAAAGCACAGGTATCTATTTTATTGAACAGCCTTTCATCAACCAATAAAGAACATATTTGTGTTTTATGTGACAAGACCATGAAAAATGGCAAAATTCCAGCACAGGCATTAGCCAACAATATGAATCTAACCACTGTTGGAGCCGAATTAAGTGAACTTAATAAACTAGAAAGACACCTGGTATCCCCAGTAATTCCTTTTATGAAAATAGTTAATTTGCCAAAACATACACAAAAAGGCATTCATGGACCAGTAGTTTCGGTGCGCTCAGATATTAGGAAAGTTACGACAACTTTGCCTAGAAACATTTCAGATGAATCATTCATCAAGATGAAACTGAAGCGTAAGTTGTCTTTTAAAGGGCATCATCTGTACCAGGAGATATGTCCTAACAGAATCTTCAAAGCACTTGATTTTCTAAAGAAAAGAAATCCACACTTTACAGGTCAGTCGTTTTTATCAGTTTATGAAGTATGAAACCATTTCTTGCTTCCTTTATAATGAAAAAAATTATAAATGTTTTCTTTTCTTCAGAAATAGAAATTAAAGAAGATATTTTTGAAAGTGGAGAATATCTAGGTGATGATGAAAACAATTCTGCTCTAGATAGCAGTGGTAAGTTCAAATGCATAAAAACAATTCTCTCAAAGTAATGTTTAAATTCTATGATATTTCATGTAAAAAAAATAGTGTCTGAAATTAATGTGTTCAATAATATATTTTTATAAATTCTTGTAAACACTCGCACATGATTTTAAAAGAAAAACTTATAGTTTAAAAAAATAAAAAAAAATATTGTATACTTTCAGAAGAAAAATTTATAGTTATAAAAATTATATGAAAGACATTGTTTTAATAGCTCGCTTTAAAAAATACTGTTCCAAATATACCCCCAGTATATAATGTTTACATTTTTAACCTATGAATATGAATGTATGAAAAAATATTAAATATAATCAACTATACTAAAATCATAATAATTACAAAACAGGTTCTGGTGAGAAGGGGGAATCTGAACCTGTAAAGGAGAAATCCAGAAATAATGAACACACAGAGAGCAATACCAATGCAGATTATGATGGTAAGAACTTTTGAGTAGTAATTTTGAAATGCATGAAAAAGAAAAGTATTTCTAGTTAGTACACATGTATATTTGCATCAGAGACAAACAGGTAAATTATCCATTATTGATTTCAACAGATCCTGACAAAGAAGAAGAAGAAGAATCAACAGAAGAATCTCAAGATTCTGTACCACCACTTGACACATCTCTTCAACCATCAGACCCAGCACAGTATTTTGCTGATGAAAATCCAAACTCCATTTTTTGTATTGCACCAGCAGAAGGAAACACACCATTGAAAGTCATCAGTACTGAAGGACAGGCATTTCCAATTCATTTTCCTACTGGAGAAAAAACCTACACTGACAAACGCAATACAAAAATATCAATGAAACGATATTTCAACAGTAGATTGTTTTCGAGTGATCCTAGGTTTGCTAGTGATCCAGAGTATATATTTTTTGCACAGTATACAGCAGAACTGGAGGAAGTATTTTCTTCTGTGTCCATTGCTATGCGAAAGACAGTTGATTTCAGCCACTTGACTTCAGCTAGCTTCTTGGATTCTTCCAAAATGAAAAAGATGCTTAAAAAAGATGAATGTTATCGCTTTTTGCAAACCATTCGAGGTTCCCCAGCATACTGGGAAAAAACCATGCGAGATCTTTTTGCCATGCTTAAACAGCTTGGCATACCAACATTTTTTATAACTTTCTCAGCTGCAGAAAGGAGATGGTCAGAAATCATTGAAGCAATTTGTCTGCAGCAAGGTTTGGAAGTTCCACTTGAGCCTGATTGGCAACAGTACTACAACATAATAAATAGCAACATTGTGACTGCTACACGCATGTTCGATAAAAGGCTTCATGATTTTATCAATCAAGTCATTATGAGTCCATCAAATCCTATTGGGAAGGTAACTGATATCTTTGGCAGAATTGAGTTTCAAGCACGAGGTTGGCCACATTATCATGGTCTTGTTTGGATTGAAAATGCCCCTGAATGGCAGAAATCTTCAGATAGTGAAGTGACAGCTTTTATCGACAAGTATATTTCTTGTGAAATACCAAATGAGGAAGAAGA